TGCAGTCAGGGAGGGCCATGGGGAGCGCTCAGGGAGGGAAGAGAAAGGCTTTTTATAATATATTAAGATATTCAGAGAGGAGGAGCCAGAGGTTCCCTCCCCCTTTTTTTAAACAACAAAAAAATCCCTGCTGGAAGCCAGGGTTATATATATGCCAAACAGCCCAGGAAACCCACCAGGCCTCCCGGGGCTGCCGCTGAACCGAAACAGGGGCATTGTGTGCAGACCACTGGCTGGCGGTGGGGGCATTGTTAGGGCCTGGGCCTGTCTGGGAAGAGGGGGGTGGAGGGGCAGGCGGAGTGTGTTCCCATGGCTCCCTGGGGAGTGACAACAATCAGGGCCAGCTGGGAAGCCTGGCACGCCAGGGGCCCGGTGGGTAGGCAGGCAGGCCCCAGAGGGGCCAGGGAGGGCAGTGGGGGGCCCGAGCAGGCAAGGTGGGGGGCAAGGTCAGGGCCTGTTTCTTAGCCAGGGGGCAAGGCCTAAAGAGGGGAAGCATGGAGGCCATCATTACCCCCCTTACGGTATACCCCTCCAAGGCCCTGGGCCACGGGGCCTCTGCAAAGTACACCCCAGATCTGCCTGTTGCTCTCTATCTCTGTCACCATCCCGGCCTCTGTCCTGGTCACCATGCTCTTTCATCTCTAGGCCACATGGATTCCTGCTGCCAGCCTGGCCCTATGCTCTGTCCTCCACAAGCTGCTAGAAGCATTTTGCCCACATGTAACTAGCACCACATCCTTTACCTCCTAAAAACAAAGGCTGCCCAACAGGCTTAAAAGAAAACCCAAGCGCTTTCCCCAGCCGAGAAGCCTGCCCCAGGCCAGCCTGCCCCTGGGCTGCCCCTCCAGGAGCCCGCTGCAGTCTCCTCTTCAGGGCCTTGGAATGCCAGTGCCTTCAGCTGTTCCCTCCTCAGGGACTGTGCACTTTGAAGATCTCTGGCCAGAAACACCCTTCCTCCACCGCTTTGCACAGCTCTCTTTATTCAGGGCTCACAGCAAACTTCACCCCCTGGGAGACACCGGGCTCTCCCCTCTCTGGTCCCTCCATGACACTGCCTTCACAGAACCTAGCACTTCCTTGATTCTTTTCTCTTTCTTCTTCCTTTTCCTGCCCCTAGTAACTGGGATAGAACCCAAGGGTGCTCCACCACTGAGCAACATCTGCAGTCCTTTTCTATTTTTTAGTTTGAGGTAGATTCTCACTAAGTTGCTGAGGCTGGCCTTGAACTTGCAATCCTCTTGCCTCAGCCTCCCAAGTTGCCGGGATGACAGGTGTACACCACCACGACCGACTTGCTGCAATTAACTTGGGATACTGTTTATCACAACTTTAAAATCATGGTTTTGGATTCTGCCTCTAGAACTTGCATTTAATGTATTTGTAAGAGCATACATTCCTATCATGAATTTAAAAAAACAATGGGGGAGGGGCGCTGAAGGTATAGCTCAGTATTAGAGTGCTTGCCTAACAAGCTCGAGGTCCTGGGTTAGATTCCCAAAACACACACACACACACACACACAGATTGTTTCTGAGAACCATTTCAATACTCATTATAATTGGTCTCTCTTGTAATCCTATGTATTTTACTGAATGGGTTTTGGAAGCAGCACTCAAGAGGGTTGATAGGCTCCACCAAATGCCAAAGGGGTTCATGACACATGTAAACAAAGACACTCTAAAAGAAGTGTCTTAAAAGAGCTGATGTGGCCTGGCCCGGGTCCTACTCTCAGCTGACATGCTGCTCACAGGCAGAGGCTCCAGGGAGAAGCCCGGAAGAGCAATGAGATCAGGGTTTCTGACACCAGCCCTGGGACCTGCGTTTCAATTCTGCCTGGTTTTTGTCTCATTTATTAAATCACGACATCCACAGCAGCGTTGAGCACAGAGTTCTGGTATAGAAAACAGAGAGTCCTCCCTTGGGAAGCTCCTCAAATCAACACCAGAAAAGAGTACAGTCTTTCTTTGTCCTCCAAGTGGGCCAGTCTGGCTTCCTGCTACCTACAGTACAGTGAGTCCTAAAAGGGGCCTTCTGCTGAAAACCCAAACCTCCTCACTCAAAAATGCCCTTCAGCCTGGGGCACGGTGGTGCACACAGCTAACTAATCCAGCAGCTTGGGAGGGTGAGGCAGGAGGATCACGTTCAAAGCCAGCCTCCACAAATGAGCGAGGTCCTGAGCAATTTAGTGAGACCCTGTCTCAAAATAAAAAATAAAAAGGGGGACTGGGGTTGTGGCTCAGCGCAAAAATAAATAAATAAAATAAATTTATTGTGTCCAAGTACAACTAAATAAAATATATTAAAAAAAAAAAAAGGTGAGGATGCATGCAACTCAGTGTACAGCACCTCTGGGTTCAATCCCAGTACCAAAATAATAATAATAATAATAACAACAACAACAACAACAACAATAATAAATTAGAAACAGAAAATTTAATATTGTCGGACTGTGGGTGTAGCTCAGAAGTAGAGTATGTGCATAGCAGGCACTAGACCCTGGGTTCAATCCCCATTTACCAAAAAAAAAAAAAAAACCCTTTAAGGTTAAAGACAGACATTCTCCCCCTGGGAAACTGGAACAAGAAAAGGAGAGGAAAAAAAGCGTTTCTTTTTATAAATACCCTCTAATTTGTCAAAGAAAGCGGCCATTTGAAGTCACAGTTGTGGGTTTGTGGGCTGGTTCCAGGAGGTGGAGCACATGAGGTGCCCTGGTTTGGGGGGATGCCAGCTTCAAAGCCAAAGTGCAGTCATGGTGCAGGAAGAGTGGATGGCGGTGTGGACGGAGATGGATCCTTTTTGGAGCGCGGGTGTGGACGGCCCGAGCAACCAGCACCAAACCAGGCAGTTTCTTGGCTGCTCAGCACATGAATCATCGCTCTCCCGTGGGCTCGCTCAGCCAGCTCTAATTTGGGAGCTGAGCAGCAGAAGGGCCTCAAATTAACTTCACTTTGTCCTTCCTCTTTCACTTGGCGTTCTGGGGCCGGAACATTGGGTGCCATTTACATGGAAGCTCAGGATGTCCAGGGTGGTTTACTATTGCACTGATCACAAGCAGGACTTCCCAAGCTATTTTGGGGGCAAAGGGACAGGCCAGGTCCACAGACTCACTTTTATACTGGATTATTAACCAAAGAGAAACCAAACACACAGAGGACAAGGAAGGAAATACCAAAGAGGTGAGATGACATTGCAATGTACAGTCTCTTATGAGACGAGGAGAGGTGGCTGTGTATTTTCAGAAAGTGCTGAGAGTGGGCGCCCCTGGCAGAGGAGGCATTTGGAGTGGAGCTTAGGTGTAGGAGGGAACCTGGTTTTTCCATTACACATTTTTTATACCATTTGAGTTTTGTACTATGTGTCCGTATAATTGATTTAAAGTTTGTTTTTTTTTATAGTTTTGCATGTCAAAAGACTTAAATAAATACAGGTTAAACCAGGATGCTGTTTCAGGAGCTAGCATTCGGGAACAGTAAGTGGCTACTGTGTCGAGCGTCCTTTGGCCATCCGGTTTCACAGATCACAGAACATGGTGACTCAGCTGGGCAGTAGCACACACCTGTAATCCCGGTGGCTCGGAAGGCTGAGGCAGGAGGATTGCGAGTTCAAAGCCAGCCTCGGCAACTTAGTGAGGCCTTAAGTAACTCAGAGACCTGTCTCTAAATAAAATACAAAATAGGGCTGGGGAAGTGGCTCAGTGGCTGCGTGCCCCTGAGTTCAATCCCTGGCATTCTCCCAAAAAAGAAGAGTAAAAAGAAAATGGAGGCCCAGCTAAGAAGGAGCTGAGGGCTCTTCCTCGGCTGCTGGAAGGCAGAGTCCTGCTCCCCGGCAGGGACCACCCCACCGCCTTCCTCCCTGGTGTGTGCAGTTGGAGGCAGCAGATGCTCCGACAGGATCCAGGCAGATGCCATCTGTGAGGGAAACCTATTCTTAGAGAGCAGAGACAGTCGGTGGTGGAGCAGACCTACCCCACAGCAGTGGGGGGACCCCAGGAGGGCAGGCGGCCAAGGCTTTACTTTGAGCCAGGGAGCAGGGCAGGCTAAGAGCGGGGTGCACTCAGTTCTCAGGACCTCGCATCCAACTGCATCAGACGCCATGTTAGAAATAACGACGACGTTTATTGAGTGTTCACTTTTATATGTCGAATCAATTAATCATCCAGACCCTCCTAAGGCAGGAGCTGTTACAAAGCTACTTTACAGATGAGGAGACAGAGGCACGGAGGGTCAGTCACTTGCCCAAGAGGGGCCAGGCCAGGTCTTGAGCAGAGGTGGTCTGGTTCCAAAGCCCATGTCCCTAACTGCCATGTCATGCTCCCTCTCCACCTGCTGTACAGAGGCCAATTTTAGTTTGGGGTTCCCCAGCAGCAGACCCTGAGGCAAGGACTTGAGTGGTTTGAGGGGGAAGTGACCCCAGGAAGCACTGGCAGAGGCTCAAGAAAGGGTGCAGGGAGGGTGTGGCTTTGAGCCAGCCCACTGTGGCCTCCTGAGGCTCCATCCAGCTGGGGAGCTCTGGGGGCCAGCACAGGGCTCAAGCCTAGGGTTTCCCCGCCCAGAGGGGGAGCTGCAGCTGGAGAAGCGGAACCCAGTGACAGGTGAATCCTCAGGCAGGAGATGGTGGCAACAGGAGAGGTGGTTGGTTGCGTGGAAGTGGCAGGTTGGAGGAGGTGGAGCAGGTCACACTCCCCACCACCTCATCAGAACAACCTGCTTTGAGATGGCCCAACCACACCGGCCCCCCCACGCCTCCACAGTGAGAATCTGCTCCCCTGAGCTTGCAGTCAACCGTGCTAGGAGCACTGCCTGTCCAATCTGACATGATCCCACCGCAGTCACCCCCACACTGTGACACACTGGTCACAGGGAATAATGATGGTTGGCTCTGTCATGCCCCACACTACCCTGCTACTTGGGGTGGGGCTCAGGGCTGAGCACCAGCCTCATCTGGGAGTCCGCAGGGGGGAGCCTGTCTGATCCCCAACTCAGACCCAATCCATCAGAATCTACATTTTTACAAGCTCTCTAGTGACTTTTGTGGACATTTCTAGTAACTTCTAAGATACAAAAGGATATGGAAGTGGTACGTGTATTAATGGAAGTATTCCTAGTAGACTGCGGATCCCAGACTGATAGCCTATGGACTATGTCTTCCTGGAGGCTTGTTCTGCACAGTGGTTTGAAAAAATTCCACCAGCACCCAGGCTCTGATCCACTGTGCCCGTCACTTTCCACTGCAGAGCACCCCAAACATTTCCATTTATGCCACTAGGGACGACTGCAGGCATCTGAGTTGGTACCCTTTTGGGGCTCAATCCTATGACTAGCTAATATTTGTATGGCATGGCATCAAAATTTAAAACAAGGCACTAAAAAAGACATGGGTTTTGGAATCAGGCAGATCTGGGTTCAAATACTGATTTGGCTGTTACATGAACTATATTCCCTGGGCAGGTTACCTCCTCTCTCTGACCCTCAGTTTTTACATCCATAAAATGGGGATCAACAGACACACTTGCATTGTCACTGCTTGGATTAAAAATAAAAATATGCAAAGCACCCAGGAGGAAATTAGAACTCACTAAGTGGAAGGAACCAGTAGTAGTGGCAGAAGTTGTAGTTGTAAGAGTCCAATGTGGACACTGGGTATTATTATATTATTCTCATTTTATGAGAAATTGAGGCTCTGAGAGGTCGAGAACCTTCCCCAAGGGTTCACAGTGGAGTGGTAGCACAAAAGTCATATCCTCCAGCTCTAGATCTGCACTGTCCACTAGAAACTTCTTCGGGAATAGAAGTGTTCTGTATCTGTGTTGCTTGATATGGAAGCCACTAACTCCATGTGGCTACTGGGCACTGGAATGTAGCTCATCCAAACTGAGGTGTATCGGAAGTATTAAATATGCACTGATTTTTTTGGGGGGAGGAGTACTGGGGCTTGAACCCAGGGGCACTCTACACTGAGCTACATCCCTAGTCCTTTTTCTTTTATTTTGAGACAGGGTCTTGCTAAATTTCCAAGGCTGTCCTCAAGCTTGCAATCTCAGCCTCCCAAGTCACTGGGATTCCAGGTGTGTGCCATTGTGCCTGGCCACACACCTGATTTTGAAGACTTAGTATAAGAAAAAAGATGGTAAAATATCTCACTATGCTAATCATTTGTTGAAATTATAATGTTTTGTTATCATTAGGTCAAAATATATAATTAAAATTAATTCCATCTGTTTCTTTCTGTTTTTTTTTTAAATGTTGGTTTCTAGGAAAAAAAAAAAAAAAGGCTAGACAAGTTCCCTACCACTGAGTTACATCCCCAGCCCTAGAAAAAAATCTAACTCCATGTATGACTCAAATTATGTTTCTACTGGACAGTGCGGTTCTAGAACTTCCCCAATACAACACCAGAGACAGGAACTTCATATTTCTTTAAAAAGTATTTGCAACCCTCTGCCCACCATGCAGGTGCCCTCTGTTACAGAAGAACAGTGGAAGAATGCAATACCCACCAGAAAGAGACCCTCTCTAAGGATCCTCTTCTGGGCTCGAGGACCCCTGAAGCCCAGAGACCTGGCCCTGGTCATGGAGGGCAGCAGCGTGGCTGGAATCGAGTCCAGGACTCCTCAACCTGACTCAGCCATCTGTGGCACCGTGCAAAGTACCTGCTGAGCCGTGAAAATCTGTGCTTTTACTTCCACAAATGGAGCTCTGGGATGAGCCAAGACGGAGTGTGAGGCCTGATTTCGAGAAGGCAGGACCCTCTGGAGGGTGTGCTGAGGGCGCCCAGCGGAGCTCGCCAGGTGCCTGTGGGCCGGGCCGGGGGGCGCACCTGGGAGCAGCCTACTTGGAAGCGCGTCTCTTGTTGTAGATGAGGAAGTCCGAGAGGTCGTGCCACACGTTGCTGTCCTCGTACAGGTAGGTCATGGAGGACTGCAGCGAGGGCTGCAGCGTGGGCCGGTGATACTCAAAGAGCCACAGGACAAGCCCCCAAACCACTGCGGTGTAGAGAGGGAACGGGTCCCACCGGAGCTCCGGGATGTAGCCCTTCTCCACGCCCAGGCGGCACAGCGCGAAGAGGACACGCGACGTCAGGTACATGTTGATCTGCGGAGAGGGGTGCCCGGGTTACTCATGGGCATGGCCACCAGGAACCCTCCTCCCACCCCAGTCCCCACACCGGGACCTCTCCCGGGCTGGGGCCCAGGGCTTCTCAAAGTAGGTGTGCAAGATGGTGTGAGGCGGCAGGTGGCAGACATCGTGGGATTTCTAGTTGTCTGCTATTTATTACTCTTTTTCACTATATATTTTTTTAAATAAATATACCTGGTTCAAAACCAAAAGGTAACTTGATATCAAAAATATAATCCATAACAGGAGATGTTGATAAACTGAATCTCTTTGAAATTTAAAAATTTTCTCTGTGAAAGCCCATGTGAAGAGATTGAAAAGAAGAGCTGGAGCCAGGACAGTGTATGCCTGAGATCCCAGACTCAGGAGGCTGAGGCAGGAGGATCACCAGTGTGAGACCAGTCTCTGCAACTTAGTGAGGCCCTGAGCAAATCAGTGACACTTTTTTTTTTTTTTTTGAGGGGGCGGGTACTAGGTATTCAACTCAGGGGCACTCAATCACTGGGCCAAATTCCCCAGCCAGGATTTGTGTTTTATTTAGAGACAGGGTCTCATTGAGTTGCTTAGTGCCTCACTTTTTGCTGAGGCTGGCTTTGAATTCCTGATCCTCCTGTCTCAGCCTCCTGAGCAGCTAGGATTACAGGCATGAGCCACCACGCCCAGGAGACCTTGTCTGAGAATTACAGGGGGGGTTAAGAATAGAGGTATTTTGGATTAGACAGAGGGGAGTGAAGGGAGAGAGGGGGCATGGGGTCAGGAATGATAGGATGAGCTGGACATTACTACCCTATGTGTATATATGATTACACAAACTCTCCATCTCGTACAACCAGAAGAATGAGAAGTTATACTCCATTTATGTATGATGTGTCAAAATACATTCAACTGTCATGTATAACTAATTAGAACAAATAAAAACAAACAAACAAACAAAATGATGTAGCTCAGTGGTAAAATGTAACTGGCCCTGAGCTCAATCCCTAGTACCAAAAGAAGAAGAATAGCTATAGATGAGAGAAGGAGAGAGATACTTATGAAAATATATCTGTCAAAGCATTAGTACCTTTGAACTTGCGATCCTCTTGCCTCAGCCCCCCGAGCCACCGGGATTACAGGTGTGTGCCACCTGTGCCCAGTTTACAGAGCAAATTTTTAAAAAACAATCTATTTTCCCTAGAGAGCAATGTAACATTGACTTGGGAGACATGAGTTCCAGGCAGTTGCTGGATTTACAGATGGGGAAACAGAGGGGAGAAGTGACCTTCCAAGGACTGGCAGTCACAGACCTCAGACATGGAAGATAGTCAAGGGTTCATCTTCAACTCCCACCCCTAGCTTTATACCTAAACTTTGTCCCACCCCCAGCCCCACCTGAGGGGGATTTTTTACCTGGCTGTTGATGTTACTGTTGTCTCCAAATATCAGGAAGCCCCCGATGAAGGCAGCCAGGAACGGGTGCGACTGGTAGGTCTTGCCCTGTGTGTGGGACTGCAGGGCGCAGAGGCCCTTGTAGACAAACACGAAGCAGGCCAGATTCCGGGAGTGGGTGTAGGTGGCCTGCAGAATGGCTCGCAGTTTGTCTCGGAGGCTGCACGGACACAGGGAGCTCCCGTGAGAGTGGGCCCAGCTGCTCCAAGGGCAGTTACCTATCACACACGTTGACACTCCACTAGGCGAGGAGCTCAAGGGCAGAAGCTCGGGGCAGATGCTTGTTGCAACTCTCTCAACAGATTGGGCCTTCACTACTGCCACCTGGTCCCTGACACCCACACAGGGAATGCCACCACACTCTGTCCCCATACCCTACTTTCTTTTCATGGCTCTTTTCACCACCTGACCTTTCCTGGTTTGTATCATGTTCCATTATCCCTGCCCCC